AATGAAGAAAACCAAAGATTCATGGAAACAATTAGTCCTGGCGTCTGGTACACCATGCGATCCTCAGCCTAAATGACTATGAGACCAGAAGAACTAGATGACGCCTGGCTACCACTGTCAACCACTCAGAGGGGAATCTACGTAGGAGATCCTGGATAGAGAGGGAGAACAATGTGGAACAAAACTCAAAATCATTTGGGGGGCAGGGGAAAAAAAAGTGGACCAGGTTTGCTGGTCTGATAGAGCTTAGTGGAACCACTGAGACTATGGCCCCTAGCTGCCCTTCAGGTCTGGTACTGAACTCACACCTGTGGCTTCCAGCCCAGCAACAGACAGTCATATGAGTTGAACGTTTACCTGAGGTAGATAAATTCCTTGGAGAGAACAATCATTGGAGAAAAGAAGAGCTGTTTATGCACAAGGAGACAGCTCAGGGGGCAGGAGTGCATGGAGGGATAGACCCAGGGAAGAGGTATCTATTGGGAGGAAGTGGGAGGGGAGCTGTTGCATTGTGGTAAATTGTAGTCAATGACATGAGACAAAGTATATGTGAACTGTATGGAAAATGAATTTGCTCTGTAAATTTTCAGCCAAATCACAATTAAAAAAAAAAATAGATTCCTTTGCCTCTGTGATTCTATCATTCTGTTCAGTTGATAATATTCCACTGTGAGTGGGTGAAAATGTATGGTTATAGTTAATAATAAAATGAACAGTCTATTATACAACTACCTTCTTTAATAACTGAGTATATAAAATATATTTCTTACATTTTACATGTAACATTTATGGAATTTACACTAAATAAACAAACATTATCAGTAGCCATTTCAGTAAAGGCTCTGTGGAAATTAAGACAATCAGCTTACCTTCCAAAGTGTCGCCTCAGAGGAAGTCTTCCAATATCTTGGATAAAAGAAATCTGTGCTGAAAACAAAGATATAAAATAGTTTTAAAAATTAGGCCAATATATATGGGACAAAGAATTCTTTTTACTTTTCTAAATAACATAGAGTGCTGTACTATTTACTCTCTCTTCTTTATTTTTGTTCTATTTCCTCTTGAATCATACAGAGTAAGCTGAGTACCTATTTTGTAAACAAAGTCTTCTCAGTTTGGGTTGCTTTAGTGTCATTTGCTGCCCCACCTATGTAAGTAAGAAAAACTGGATGAGGGTGGCAAGCTCATAGAATTAGTCTTCTAATTTATGAATAGCCACACTGTTATTCTTCAATAGTTTCTTATTTTTTAAACCATTTATCTTTTATTACTGTTCAGAATATACACAACAAAACATACACCAATTTAACAATTTCTACATGTACAATTCAGTGATAATTATATTCTTCACGTTGTACAACTATTCTTACCCTCCTTTTTTGAATTGTTCTTCCCCCATTTAAATAAAGTCACTACTCCTTAAGTTTCCTATCTATCCTTTTGAGTTGCCATTGTCAATTTGGTCCCATATATATGGTTCTTTTTTTTAAAAAAAAAAATTTGAGTGAGTTCCGATAAGATGGTGGACTAGACAGAAAGATTGCAGACTCTCTTCAACAAAGAAAACGGAAACCAATTAACACAGACACAGAAGATAATCTGGGACCCCTGAGCCTTGAAGGGAAGGATATAGAAGTGGACTAAACCCCAACTAGCAGAAGAATTTGCATGAAAATACCAAAAA